GAAAAAAAACCCGATGAAGCGCCTAGTGGATGACTCTTTCGGGACTGACCAAATCTTTGCTCAGATTGTGTGAACCTTCAGTATCCAATGTGTCGATTCCTTTTTAAAAAGCGTTAGCACAGGATTTCTGAGACGTTAGATGACTCGGAATTAAGATAGTATCAGTCAGCTAACCAGATACCGAGCATCGGTCGGAATCCTGCCATGTTTTGGTTTCTTTGTGACGCGAATTCAGTCTGCACCTACCTGGTTCCGAAAAATATTCTGGTATTTATATCTGAAATATCCTTCTGTAAAGCACACACTGCGACAGTTTTACGATCCATTTTTTGCCCGCAATTTCATGATCGCATTTTTGTTGCAAGTCTACTAATTTTAATGGTGGTCGAGTGACATGTATCCCATGGATCCCAGGCAAGAACCGTATTTTCATCGACCGAGACAGATTTACAAGGGCGCGCACAGCTCATTCATGCATCCGACCGGTGATCTCAGACTTGGAGGCTCTCCTTTGAACACATACGTTACAGGCATTGGTGAAAAGTGTACATGATTACAACCAAAAGGCTAGACCCTGTTCTTATATCTAACCAAGCATTGTCTCGATGGTCAAGCACATCCCCGAATGGTATAATGCTAAATTCAATGTCCATCATCCGATTGAATGCATATCCCTTATCGAAACAGCTGCAGTGGGCGTGCCTAACTGACTCCATTTCCAAGGTTTTTGGTTTTAGACATCTCAGTGGGTAAAGATCAGACTTACTGACTGGATAGTCCGTGGTTCGAATCCAACCTCCGTATCTCAACTGCTCCTGTCTAGGCTTGGACAACCTGGCAGTAGCCCTTCCTTGTGTTTCCCACTGACTGGATAGTCCGTGGTTCGAATCCAACCTCCGTATCTCAACTGCTCCTGTCTAGGCTTGGACAACCTGGCAGTAGCCCTTCCCTTGTGTTTCCCTCGGGCGTCACGGCATCTGGGCACTAAAAGTATGCTGCAGCTGAACGATTATTATTAATAATCTTATTAGTTACAGGCATTTTTACTGTTCACCCGCCAACGTAAAGGTTCATACTACTGGTGAAACATGTGAGCAGGGTCTGGCCAAGCGTCAAAGGGCCGTCCAGTCTTCTGATAAAAGGTTGGCATGGAATTCACTGAACTGCCTTGCAGTGTACGTTCATTGTTGGTTAATATTCAAACAAAGCCCAGGCAAGTGCAAGAGGGCACTTGAGAATGTTCACTTTCCAAAATATGAGGTTTTTAATTTCGTGTCTGATAGCTTGTAACCGCTTAGTTTGTGTTGGCCAATAGACAGATCTATACTCTCTCTTCCTCTCACCAGTAGCACGTCCCCATTCTGTTGTTTCCTCATTATTTTGCCAGCTCAGTTGTATACCGGACTTGGTAGTCTCCCACTTAGTTATGATCTAGATATGCTAATATCTGGGACCTAACTGCTTCTGCTTGCTCTCGGTTGCTTTCCGGTGGTTGCTTATTTGGAAATATCCTGTGGAAGAAATTTTCAGTTCGCTGAAATCATCTCCTCCAGAGGGGTCGAATGTTTGGAAGTTGCCTATTGGATGGGGACTACTTTAGTTCGAGTTGGGTCGAAAATCACCTGAGGGTTTATGTGAGCTTTATGGAAAGCCCAACAAAAATAAAATCCCATACGCATGGAAGGACACATTCAGTAGCGATGAAGCCTCGTATATTTGTAACCAAGTGTTTTTCGAGGCCTCCATGGGTGACTTGCTTTTCCGATCTTCCTACCAAACCGACTGATCACTGCTTTCATTTCTACTTCAGCTATCTATATGACACTGCCTGTGTTTGTTCGTTGGTTTCGTTCTGCCTAACCATGTACTCATGGCTTCGCAACGCCTCTCGCTTTATTATACCACCAAGACGAACATATTCGGCCTCCGCTCTGCAGCAGCATCTTTTCGAGAGGATTTCCACATTCGGACCGATATCCGTTGCAGAGTTTATGAAAGAATCCCTAACCAACCCCCTCCATGTTAGTTTGTGTTGTCTATATATTTATCCGCTGATTGGTGCAACTTAGGGTTACTACATGAAGTCGGACGTTTTCGGCAAATTCGGCGATTTTATCACATCACCAGAAATTTGTCAAATCTTTGGCGAGGTAACTCTTCATTGAAACTTCCTCACTGTTGTCCTGTCATCAGCTGATCGGTGTTTGGTTTGTAAACGAATGGCAAGAACTTCAACGCCCACAATCTTTTTCGTTCATTGAACTGGGTCCCGGCCGAGGAACTCTGGTCTGCGACATACTTCGAGTGAGTGTATTACTTCTGGTTCCTTATCACCTGTATTATAAGGTGTTGTCTATCCCAGATTAGTACAGTTGAACTGTTTCGTCCCCAGTTGAGGAGGCATCGTCAGTTGACCCAATCAACAGCGCACTGATAATGTCTCCTTGACTGGAGACGAAACGTTTGCAAGCCAATTACTGGCAAACAGATCAACAGCCATCTGATCAGCCAATTGCAATCACACCCGAGCTACCAATATTTCGTCATATGCCTCTGCGTTATAGCACCCCAGTCGAGAATATGATGGAACCAAATGCCACCACACTGTATCTCCTACCTCTTCCGAACTGTAAATTGGACAGTTTACCGTTAAGCCAAGCGCTATGGGCTCTTTGAGTCGCGCGCTTATACTTCCTTATGGCGTGAAAGTCTTCAGGACAGGACACTTACTCGTCCAGTGCCTGGTTGGTCTGCCTAGTAAGGGTTTGCTTGTTTTCAATATCATGCGTACGGCGAGATGCAACTTTGCTTGAGGCGGTTTTGCTGTTGCTGCCTTGGTCTATCAGTAGCTGCACTTCTATTCATCCTGACCGTTAATTTTCCTCCCTCTTTTTGGGACACAATTCCCGCTTTTTCTTTGTGCTTGAATAAACCGATTGGGTGTTGGACTATTATTCGGTGTACTTCTTCTGAGTTCCACCTAACGAGTGCTCGCCTGTTTTCGGTTGCATCTGTGTGAATCTTCCCTGTGTTTACCCTACCTGCTTTACTTAATGCGGTTTCCCAAATGACTTGATTCTGTTGATTTCGTCTATCGCAACAGTGAAAGCACGCGGCGTGATGAAACCACATTTTCAGTCCATCGACGCGTGGAATCCAAGCTTATCGACGTCACTTCAGTCACCTTCAGTCAGAGCATAGTGATAATGGAAGCAGTTGTGTCCTTAGTCGCATGGACAGATTCCACAGGACACTTCCGAATCACTGAAGCCGGCAGTGTCGAGTTAGTGTGCTCAAATCCTCTATAGCACAGAAGCGTTTGAGTACCGCTTCACTGGCATCATCATCATCGATGGCATGACATCAGTGTCCAACACCGGTGCTTCACTGCCGCTTTACTGGACGGAAAACAGTGCCAGGAACACTAAGTATCTTCCACAAACACATCGATCCGAAGACTCCAAACCCCGATGATGTCCAGCTCTTAAGAGCCTAGCTAGCCTCACAACTAAAGGGGAAAATGAAACGGATGACAGATAGGTACACGCGGTCCTTGGTTTACGAGTCTCTATAGTAACTTCTTTGACTGAAAAGAGCTGAGTCTTGCGCAGTCGATGAATAGCTCCATTTCTTCAAAGACCTTACATCTTGGAAGTCCAATCGAGCCATGCACTCGGAAAGTTGGGATTCGTTCGGTCCACTCACTCCTCACCTGCTGACTGAGAAATTGGCGATAAAAAATCCCGTCTCATGGTCCATTTTTAAGGGTAAAGTCATCAGTGCGAGTGAGTAGCTGTTACAGACTGTTGTTACTTTTCCAAGATAATTAGGTAGTACGCCGTACGTAATCTTTAGTGCATAGTCCTACTGAAAATCTATTGTCGTTGGAAATAGCCGTTATCCTCGTCCCTGAATAATCATTGTCGTGGACGCCTTCGCCTGAACATAATACGACCTTATCAAGTTTATAAGGTTCGCTGAAACATTTACCTGAGACAGATTATTATGGGTTAATTGCATTTGTAGCGGTCGCTAACTATAGTGTGGGACAAACGCGGATAATTACCGCCGACCGAAATCCAATGCTTTGACTCTGTGTGGATTTATCAGGCAGTAGAGAGCCTGAGGTGAGACCAGCGCCCCACAGTATCTGACATCACTATCAGACACGAATGACACAAATTCCATAGATCGCCCTCCATGCAACTAACAGCTGTTCGATGAGGGTGAACTCCAGTTTCTATCATCCTGCTGGCGACGCTCAGTTTTCGCAGTCAACACCGAAGTTTAAAACAATCGGTGACTTTGAACAAAGATCAACTGACCCCATATGTTTTAGAGCCAATCCGATTGTGGACCAGTCACACACTTCACAGCCAACGAAGCATACGAAGAGCGGCGAACAATGTTGTTTATAGTCCAATAAAAACCCATGGCTTCGCATCAATGAAATGATACTTCCCCGGAGTTAAGTGACTCCTTTTAAGTCGGTTTACTGGAACGCATCACTACGTGCGTTGTCTTTTGTTTGTACCGATCTGTTCTTGCCTAGAAGCACCCAACCGCAGTGAACAGTGGTTCAGATCGATTCACCCAGAGAGAGAAAATCTCATTCGTTCGTATCTCTGCCTGTGTGTGTGAGGGCATGTACTAGTGAGGCGTTCAAATCGAGATCAGGTCCACTGGGGCTGTGAAAACTCCAGCAAGTCTCACTCGGTCATCATATTATCATATATATCATCGGTCATCTCGGTCAGTTGCTTCGTAGCAAAAATTGTATAAAAGACTGAAACAGTCATCATCTACCCTATCTGTTGGTCTGCTCAAAGTCGAAGAGGGAAATAGATTGATGGCTTTCAATTTACTGACTTTTTCCTCATCCTGTTTCTCAATCCTATGGTCCTATGTTTGCTATTGTATTTTTGTGCACACGCTCTTGGGGACAAAACATAAGTAAGTTCAGACGGACCTTAAGCATACTTTTGTTTGCTTTTCTGTAGGTATTTTCTAGATTCCCTTCTGTATACAACGCGTTGACGCTTCATTTGGTCGAAGTCAGTCCTGCAATGCGTTCGCTACAACAAGATTCCATTGGGAAAACAGTCGAGAAACTGGGTTTGCCTGCACCGTCAACCGTGTGGCACACAGACTTTCGAGATGTTCCCCATGGGCAACCAGCTTTTATCTTGGCCCATGAATTTTTGGATGCTCTGCCTGTTCACCAGTTCCAAGTACGTTGACCGATAGTTTCTAATCAACCCGTCTCACAGAAGGATCCTAATGGCCAGTGGCATGAAGTTCTAGTTGGTTTATCCGAAGAAGACAGCGGAGAAAGTAAACTCTGTTTCGTTCAAGCACCAAACAGGACACCTGCTCAGGTCGCCTATCTACCAGTATGTCTCTGTTTTCTTTCCGAACTAGCACGATAAAGTAGATCCGATCAGCTTAGCCATCGCTGAAATTCGATAGTCTGTAACTGACATGTCTCTCCTGCCTTTCATCCACTTTCTTCGCAGCTTGTTGCCACTCTGCTGGAAGGGCGCGAATTTTGTGAACTCTCTCCCCGGGCGCTTCTACTAACCGACGAGATTTGTCAACGGATCGCACAGGACGGTGGTGCAGCATTGCTTGTTGACTACGGTCATTTGGGTGACAAGAAGAACACGTTTCGTGTACGTCGATCCCTTTCGACCCTTTTTATGCTAATCAAAAATAGGGCTTCAGAAAGCACCAAGTTTGTGATCCGCTGCTAGATCCGGGAGGTATTGATCTAACTTGCGACGTGGATTTCTCATTCATACGGAAAAGAGCCCATGATTCTGGTTGCGCAGGTGGGTTCCTGTTAACCGAAGTGGTCGGGTTTTTTTGTCTCATTCTGATCTCTGTTACTGCAAGATAAATGTCGTTTCATTAGCAATCGATAAATCGTTAACTTTCACTTTAGATTACGTCGCCTAAGGCAGACAATATTTCCGAAAGGCCGAAAGGTACTCCAAAACTGTTTCATCCTTAGTAGACATTACGATTCTGTATTCGATCTCCTGGATTCTGTGCTGAAAATTTAGTCGTTTAGGCGCTGAACACCACTGTTGAGCAAGAGCCAGTCAGTCTGCAGAGCTGCTACCCCGTACCCTTGCACAAAGAAACTTCAGAATGTGCTCTACTGATGGTACGTGAGTAGTCTGTCCAAATCGGAAAAACTCTAGTTTTCCTGACCTACCAGTGCCTCAAGATGTGCGACCGATGCCGCGACACACGCTATAAAACCACGCGATAGATGATGACAGGCCCCTTATCCTGAATCTTTTAAAACGAATCACACTTTCGCTGGCCAGCCATTGTTCGAAACTGTAGTGCTTAGCACCCATAACTAGTGTTGTTGGTTCAATTATACCGTAGTATCCGGGAGATTCAGACCGCAATTTCCAAAAAGAATGAAACAGCTGTGCGTCGTTTCTAGTTTTTCTCTGAATTTTACAGTTTATCTTCCGATGAGTTCTGACTATCAGACGCTTGGCATGTCGAAATTGGTCTACCTTGGCTGTCGTCCAAACGGGCACTACGACTTAAATCATATTAGTCTCATGCGATTCGCTAATTTTTCGTTTTCAAATTGCCTCCAATAAGATAATAAGTATGTAATAATTAATAATTGTCAAGCACGTTTTCACATTGTACCGTAATATAATACCTGGTCGTACTTCCTTGTAAGTGATTTTTTGATATTAAGATCCATTCCTCTCTACCATTCCACGATCTGGTGGCTAATGGAAGCCATTCTGATGTCAGAAATCTCTCCAGGCTGTTTTCATCCATCACATTTTTATTCTAGTGGATGTCTTTGGACCGGAATCTCAGGCCTTTTTTCTGATCAACATGGGTCTACTTACCCGGTTAAAAGTGAGTCCACCAGGTCACCGTGTTTGTCACGTGAGTCTGGCGTTTTTTGTGTAGTGATCCACAAATTATGACTGAACACTAGCTTTGCGCTGTCGCTCTACAGATTAAGTAGATGATGATGGGCGAAGAATGGTACGCGTTTCAATCAGCATGCTGGCTAATTTTGTTTCTATTTGCCTGTTTGGGGATAGATTTGCTTCACTTGTATCCAAATCACGTTACATGTAACTGCTGTCAGCGTCTGACATAAGTAACGTGCTCTGGGTTACAGTCACAGTCAGATGAATCCCATAGTAAAATGGGTAGTAATTTCACAGTTACTGGTATGTGTTTCGGTTACTGTTCAGTCCTGTAGGACTTCTACCGGGGGGGGGGGGCGGTAGCAGTCTTTGTGAGGGCGCCAGAACGCCTGCTATGAGCTGACACTGTCACGCAGTTCGAGATCGCGCAACATTTGATCCATGGGCTGTCTACCCGGTGGCCCGTAGTTCTAGTCCGCCTCTGACCTATTGATTGCTGCTGTTGCATGCTATCCATGAGCTAGGGCGTTACAGCCGAAAGATCACGTAAAAGAAAATCCACGAAACATTTTGTAGAGACACCGGTTGATAACTATGGATCTAGGACGCTCTGATGGCACTATTTGCTGTGAACTTGGAGTAAATTTTTGTTGGGCTTGGTCGCTCATAACCCACCTTACATCCCTTTGGAACAGCGCTATGATCCTTTGCTTGCAATCACCAAAAAAGTAAAGCTTCGAGACGTGCAACCTGACGGAATTACGAGGGCTGTGGTATTCGCAGGTTGACGAAGCCTAAACAGGGATGACCGGGAAGCCGGAAATACTTTCAAACAGCATAGCCCTCCCTCAGGATCACGTACCCTAAGCCCTCAGCTATCTTCAGTTTCGTGGCCCTGACTGTCCCTCATTGTGCCGAAACTGTTGTGGAAAAACCAGCCGCTTTGTGAAACTTTCGAGTTTCATCCCTTGCCACGGACTGATCGACTCATCCGAACTCGGATTTCAATGGTCCCATGCGTCTTGTCTCATAGATGAGAGATAACTTTTGCGTGAGGCTTCACTCAGTCCTATTCTGTGAAGCGGTTTTGCAAGCCTCTGACGACAGTGCTCGCTATATAGTTACAGTGGGACCTGTCTCATTTAGCTGTCCGGTTCTGTTTTATGTTGCTACTCTGGTACGTCAATTATTTAGTCACCGCGGGAGTTGTTCTATGACAAGGCCGTTCACGTTCAAACGGCAGGTTAGAAATAACGTGAGTACAGCTGGAGAGTAGATAGATGTATTCGTTCCATTCACTTGGTAAAAATTCTTGTGGAAAGCCTTGTCGGAAGTGAACATGTTACGTGGCGTAAGGGGTGGCCGACATCCCCACCGCAGCCGTGTTAGCGGCCAAGAGTCTTGTGTTAATTGAGGTCCCGTTTGGTTCCGTGGTGTCTAACAACACAACTCTCCAAGTTTTCACTATGCAACTTCACACAGCTCACTTACTAAATTGGTTTGCTTCTGTTTTAATTTCTCCAACCCGCCTTCTCGTCTTACCATCCACAGGTCCTTGCTTCTCAGTGTAACTCAGCAGCGCATCGTGAAGAGCTCATTTCTGGATGCGAAATGTTGATTACTGGAGAACAAATGGGTGAACGGTTTAAATTCCTGGCCATTGTTCAAAAACCTCATAACAATGCTGGACGTCAGCTACCAGGCTTTTTCGCCCTTCCCGGAACCCCGTACGCCGAATAGAGGTTGTGCTGACTTCTGCCTTGCAACAGTTTTGTAAATCTTTTTAAAATGCAAGCGCCTTCATTCCTGTGTTCGACTCTGTGCTTGGTCTGGCGGTGCTATCCGATTCCGCTAAGTTGGCAAACAATCCACGAGCATTTCCTTGCTTCCTGATAATCTTTTCCTTAATGTGTCCCAACGCGAATCGGTGGTTCTGTTCAGGTGGGACATACCTAGGATAATTGAACCTTCCTTTTTAGGCAGACCTCCCCGGAATGGAAGGATCGTGAGTTCACTCTATGTGAATCTAATAGCAACCTCGAGAATGAAAAACGCTGGGATAGGTTGTCATGTTGAGACGTACTGGTATGGCTTTTTGGAGACTGCTTGCCTAGTATGTACTATATATATATAATATTTGCATATATGTCTGGGTGTCCTGAATGGATTCCAACCTACGCACAACCATTAACTGCATAAGCACATCTACGGCAGTGAAGTACCGCTGTGGCTTTCAGCGATGACAATCATTGTCAGTCCCCGGTCATCCTATTTTCTAACTTCTGTAACTGCGTGATAATGTAGCGAGAAGATTGATGACCGCATCAGCTGTTGCGACCAGTCAAACAACCAACACATCATAAAGGAAACTACTCACAAGGTTGCTGAAAACTCTTTGACAGCCCACGATCGGTTTCGCCCTTCTTAGGGCTCATCAGGTAGGCGCAGTCCCCGAGTTTCCGTCAACCTAATGATCTAGTTGAACCCAAATTGGACTGTTGTCGAGAAGTACACTCATTTGCAAATCAATTCGGTTTTCACGGGAGACTCAATTGAAGCTCCCATTTATGATGTTCTTCGACTGAATGTGCGATATCTCGAATATCGTGCCAACTGAATCATGAGGCGGCCTGTGTGCAGCACATTCAGTTGGAGGACATCATAAACGAGAGATTCAATTGAGTCTACCGTGAGAACCAAACCAGCAAATCAGTTTAAGTATGGACAGAGTTCCCACCTACGTACCAACCGTTATTGTACCTTCCCTGATATGCAATATACGCTTGTTGTTCCCTTCCTTCTATTGGGTTTCCTACTTGCCAGCTGGTCCTGCTGCTCACTGGGACAGTAAATTGTCGCGCATGCGTATTCGCTGGACTAGTATCGGTGTTATCCACTCATCAGACGAGACCCTATCATGATGTACCTTGCCAGCACAAACCCCCTTACCAGCGTTTGCTCCTCTGTAGATGCACTGAACCGTTCCATCCTCTCGGGATAGGCGATCTGCTCTCAACTAAGTGTATCCGTTTGCATTTTTTATGTTCGCATGACTGTAAACGTTTTACGGTATGTGCCAGTGAGTGCTAGCTGGCACATAACCCACGCCTAATTGTTCGTCGGTTCAAGAAAGATTCACTATCGTGCGGATTCGTGTACCAACAATTTTGGTTACATGAAGCGTTTAGTGCGCGAGTTGTCTTTTCTTGTAAGCAATGAATTATTCGTTTCGAGAAACGAAAAGTATCTCATGTAGCACGTTCCTTCCTTCAGTATTACTCCATCCCAGGCAAGACCTAATTGTATCCAAATAACACTTAATACATAACTCCAGAAAACATCAGTGCCTCTAAATTCCCCGAATGACATTGGACTACTCAAAGTGTTGACATCGCTCATACAACAGCAGACTTGAGTTCTGGTACGCAAGTGCTGTATTTCTTTTCCGCGTGTTATTTCTGTGCTTTGTTTTAACTGGTCTAATTAGCGAAACCTATCATAACCATACCTTTATCCCGTTAACAAAAGCCCAGATGATTAGTGCGGTGAAGAGAATGAATGCCTGTTTAGTAAGTGTTGTTGCCACGACTTACCTGCCATTTCACCAAGGCCCACTGGGGCGCCTAAGTTGTTTGACGGAGAGGAAACAGGTAGTCTGACGAATGAGAAACGCAGTGAGATGATTGTGAGAGTTTAAAGATAGCAAATGCCTTTGTGCCCAATCACTAAATAGGGTAATTTCAGACAGTAAATGGGTTCAGATTTGTCAGAAACATCCTTCTGTTACCAGGACAGAATCTAGCACCCAAAATTGATGGACAGGTAGGTACTAATAGGTTACTAATGTGAAAGTTCACCTTATGAGCACTTGTAGTGAACAATAGCCCGTCTTCAGACCAATCAGTTGGCTTCAAAACAATTCTTGGCCTGACGCACCACAATAGGTGAAAATCTTTATTTCACTTAAATGGAAGTTCGTCCCTTTTATTTTCTCAAGGCCTCACTACTATCCAACCCATCTTAATTCGCTAAAAATAACGAACCCTAGATCTCAGGATGCACCTAACAAGGTCACACGTACAGAAACGTTCTTGTCACTGTTTTGACCCGTGGCACCTGTCAGTTTGTGAATTGTTGTTCCTTAGTTTGCAGTGACATAAAAATGACGGATAAACTTCGTGTTTGACACGGTCGTATGTTCCCCTGACCTCAAATTTAAGGCACCGTCCTGAGGTCATGGTTTCAGAACTTTATTTTTACACCACAGTGTGATAGTTGGTGAAGTAAACAAATTTCTGATCCTGGGGCAAACATTTTTAGTCACTTGAACTGAGTAGCATAATTCCGCTTCAAAAACAGTGTTTGTTTCACGTGTTTAGATGGAACGCAAAGGAATTCACTGTGTTAGTCTGAGAATCAGTCGTTCTGGCTTCGATTTATTAATCGGTAAGGCTACCTAGAGTGATGAGTAGATGTCTGCCTTAGGCCAGGTTGCACAATCAAGCGCTTCGTAATCGTTAAATCGAGCCTAAACCAAGCGAAACCATTTGCTCAGATTAGTTTGGGTACGAATTCGTGATGTAGACAACGAATTGATCTTATCCAATAGAAATCTCAGTTCATCGATCACTTGACTGCTACCGCACCGAGGCTAGAATTTCACTCAGGCCATTGTGAGGTGTATTCTGTCAAATAACTTGAGATTCCTAGAACGCCATCAATTAATCAATCACGGCTAGCACTCTACGCTGAGGAGAGCTGGACTTTGATCCTATCTAACCATGAATTTATTGCGACCAAATCAAACTGACCAGTATTTCCAGTAAATGGAAAGAAGATGACCGCGAAGCGCTTATGATGGAAACTCTACTTCTTCCAACGACATTTAGATGTTGTCTACGTACAAGACAAACTTCTTTGAAAGCATTCATCACATTTCTTTTTAATCTTTCGGACTGAGGTTGGATTATGTAAACAGTTTTCGATCTACTACTGTCTTTTATAAGGCTGTGTACAAAAAGTCCCCCACGGGGGCTTCTTGCTTTCTTCGCATGCCCGATTTGTTTTATGTCCTTTATTCTGGCAGAACAGAATGAAGGTACTGTCTTCTCTATGCACACAGCAGGTGTCTCAGAGAAGTCCCACCTCTCTAAAAGCATCCATTTATCCCAAACTTGTGAATCAAAGACCTCATTTGAAACTGCTTGGTAGTTTATTATTCAAAATATCACACGTCTACCAAGGTCACTCCATTTTTCTGTAACAGCTTAGTGTTTCGATCAAATAAGGATAACGTCTGAGAATCTGGTGCCAACTGAGTACGTCCTGAGTGAAATTCTCTCGAGCAAAGCAACAGATGGGAAGTGGCGAATATATAGCATTTGCTCCCGTTTCGTTACCAGTCAGTTTTAATGGATATAATTCCTGTGTAACATCTTATTGTTGTATCGTGGGTGGCCGTCTTTTTGGCTACGCCTGCACTGAGCCCGCCAGACCACGCGATAAGAAGACAGAGAACTCGGGACACGGCTGTATTGTCAGGACAAAACATACAGAGCTTCTGCGTAAATATATTGGATGACTAAACGGCCAGATATGGTCGTTCACTTGCTCGGTCTGTACAGCCAATGGCGGTGTTCCGGTCGTGAACACTTTCAGGTCCACTCCACTGGTTGTATGTTGCTAAGCCGTGTTTAGTGGGCTCCGCCAACGCACCTGCTTTCCGGACGTGTCGTGCCGATGGCGACCTTGGAAATGCATCACTCTCTGCACATGTACTTTTTCCATGTCTGGGCCCGTCCTGACAGACTGCAACAGTGTGTCAAAAAGAAGGTATTTTTGTGCCGAAAACCACGGTAAAGCTGTTTCAGCTTTGTTGGGAATCATCAGCTAAGAGTATCCCATAGGTCTGTATGATGTTTCGAACCTCTGGCCTCTCTTCTATGTGAGATTCAAGCACGCTGTTGATCAGCCACTCATGGACAAGCGGTAACGTCTTCAACTACGAGCCGGAAGGTCACGGATTTGAGTCTCCGTAGGGATTAGTGAGCTGTGCGCCGCTACTGATCAGACAAATGTGCAGTGTTCCTTGGTCTTTCGGTGTAGACTGACTTCACTTGCATGAGGGAATCTCGACTGATTCGGATCTACATGTGAAAGCCACCATAGCCCAGCTCTTCATAAGCAGACTCCAATTGTTCAAACAAAAATACTGCTTGACCAAACGATGCCTAGGTTAGATGTGTGGGTTTACAGTTGAACAGGGAACTTACACAGTATATGAAACATATCATAGTCAAGAACACATGCAGGAAACTAGGAAGCAAGACATTTTTTGTCTGAAATGAGCATGTTTCTGTCTTCATTTGAATGGATAACATCATAGTCGTCTCAAAACGCGGGTGGAATCTCAAAATGTTGTCGAACCACTCCACGTCAGACATGAGTGAAGTGTACCGTGTCTCGCGTCCTCAGGTGCGTCGTCCAAGCGATTGATGCAGGAGTACGATACGCTAAACGATTGTACTAAACATGCAAACTAACAGCCCAGCGTTATAGGAGACTGATGCAGGTGGATGTACTGACTAATCGTGTTGGAAAACGAGTAAATACGGCTAATAATCCGCGATCTTTCTTAAGTATACCCAATATGAAGACAATCACCTTCCATAGAAGGCACTGACCAGAAATGGGAAGAACAAGATGACCAGGCTGCTCGAAGTATCGTTCTACGTAGCGCATAGCTACAGAGGCCTTCTAATGCCCTGTAAATTAAGACATCCATCAACTCCACCGGGTAATTTATCAGTTTTGTAATGGACTGAAGTAGTCAACCAGTCCCATAATACTTGAGAGATGGGCACATCAGGTCCTCTGCACCTCTAGTATTTATTTTCAGTTCACTGAACAGAACCATCTGCTGTTGGTCTTTAAGTTCATTTTTTCAACAGCACCAAGTCTCCTGGCAATAGGCACTTATTATAGGAGCACTCGACCTTCTTCCGAAATAGTTCTGATGTGCCTGAGAACAGTGATACGACTAGAAACGTTAGAAACGAACTCTTCGTTCGCGGGATCCACTCGCAAATGCCTCGCAGCATCCCACTTTTTCGGAGTGCTGAATAAAAGATGAAGAAGGAAGAAGTTGGGCGAAATTTCGCATAACTCTGAAGCAAATATTCTGGATCGAATTCATCCTTTTGCCTTTGCCATTTGGAATATGCCCACGTCCCACCTCATAATCTGTCGATCCACCGAGCACGCTTAACGGTCATCATTGAGGTAGCGAGGTGTGTGTCAGAAAACTACGGTAGATGTCTTGGAACTGCACTGAAACCACAAATGATAATTAGTTCATTGTCTTGCTGAAGAACATCTAATATATATTGTCGAGTTCCATATATCCAAAACACACACAAGAGCGCCATACCCACCTATTTCCACCAGACGGAGAATAGGCCCCCGTTAGAGCTCTAACTGTGAGAATCCATAATAGCAGGACACATTGTAACGCAATCGGAAGCAACGGTAGAAAAGGTTCTTGAAGAAAACACCCGAGTAGTGAATAAAACGAGACTGCTGTGCTATAATGACGCACCGGGAGGAACGTAGAGTGCAGCTACCACCAATTTGATCATGTTTAGGTCAAGTTAGATAATACTATATCATTGGTCGATACTGGAGCAACATTTCTGTCTGATGATTGGACAGCACCTTCAAGATTCTCCTCCAACTAGATAAAAATGGTGTTTGTAGTGTTGAGACCGAAAGATTACAGTTGTGTGTAAGGCTGATATGTCATAATAAATACCATGTGATCATGCGAGCGACTATGAAGTGATATACAAAGGCACTTTTGATGTTTTCAGTGAGAAGTTGATTGCGCGGTAGAATCCCGTCGCACTTCGCCAATCTTGATTCTGACTTGGGAGATGCAGACAGAAGCCACTCCGCCTGTGGGCAGCTTCCAGATAGCCTATATGAGCGGAACAAACGGAATTCCAAATTTTCGAGAAATACACTCATTTGCAAATCAATTTGGTTTTCACGAGAGACTCAACTAAATCTCTCTTTTATTATATTCTACAACTGAATGATCTGCACACAGGCCACCTCATGTTTCAGTTGGCTCAATATTCTAGATATCGCGGTATATTTTCATAAAGGAAACTACTCACAAGGTTGCAGATGGGTGTATTTCTCGAAAACAGTCCGATTTGGGTTCAAGTAGAACATAAGGTTGACGGAAACTCGCGGACTCCACCTACCTGACGAGCTTGAAGCGGAAGGGCGAAACCGGTCGTGGGCTGCCGAAGAGTTTTCAGCAACTTTGTGAGTAGGGCTTCCAAGTTCTTCATCGTCATTAGCAGTAGCAATATCCCAAAGAACGGAAGTGAGGAATCTGAGGTCTCCCAATATATTATCATACAAAAAAAAATCGACTCCACATTTGACATCCCATACGGTCGCTTGGTTTCTCTGGCGGAATTTTTCAGGAACCGATTTGAAAATATCATAGCTGTTTCAACGCCATATAACTTGAGAGTGATTTAGAGCAAAGTCACTTGGCCAAAACCGGGACATCGAGACTCAAAGAAGACCCCCTTGGCCGCCTATATTTTTAGAAATGCAGGTGGTAACGTCCAGGCCAAGGAATCCATTGACCGCTCAACAGTAGTCATTTATGGAGAGAATCAAGACTACTTTGCTAATCATGGATATTCCTCCCAGCCTTACGACTTGATGGTAATCCATCAAACACAGGACATCAAATAGGTAAGTGGCTTTTTGCTCCTCCTTTGGCCATTGTCCAAAAGTATTTTCGCACTCAGCTATGATTGGCGAATAGTTTTGGCGTTTCCGAGTAAGGAATGAATTTGCGGATAGGTCGTTCTTGGGGGGTGGGTTGTACACCACCTCCAAAGCCAACCCACACACACTCTGCCGATTCCCTATCCCCAAACGATGACCTGAACTTTTGCGCTGAGGCTTGGCATGAAAAAAAAATTCCAATATTCCTCCCAGCCTTACGACTTGATGGTAATCCATCAAACACAGGACATCAAATAGGTAAGTGGCTTTTTGCTCCTCCTTTGGCCATTGTCCAAAAGTATTTTCGCACTCAGCTATGATTGGCGAATAGTTTTGGCGTTTCCGAGTAAGGAATGAATTTGCGGATAGGTCGTTCTTGGGGGGTGGGTTGTACACCACCTCCAAAGCCAACCCACACACACTCTGCCGATTCCCTATCCCCAAACGATGACCTGAACTTTTGCGCTGAGGCTTGGCATGAAAAAAAAAACATTCCAAAGGTTATCTGTACTTGCGGTACAAGGTTGTTTGAGCTGCGACAATACCAGATGGGCATCCAATCATGGTCCATGTGACACACCTTCCATCTAGTGTGATATTCTCGCACATCTGACTGACACTTTGAGGTCAATGCCCTGTTCTACTACTCATTCCAACAATGTAGCGACCGGTATTTTACGTTTGACAGGAACAAAATGATATAACTTCCTGCTGGTATGCCGACAGGTGAGAAATTGATACGGGAAAATATCAAAATGGACGACAATTCTATGACCATTCCGGTTTCTGTGAGCGAGTGATCATGAAAGTTAAAAACAAAACTGAACAACTACCACAAGCAAAGACTAGAACACTGAGTGCCTTTATTTTCACTCTTCTTCACGTTAGCAAGTTCCCAGATTTTTTATTAAGGTCACCTGACATAAAACTCAAGATACCCACTTACACAATCTAAAGATGACGCAACACTAAGAGCGAGATGTCCTGAGGGGTGCATAGCTTCCCGGATTTCATGCGGGCCCTCCAACACCGCATGAATACCTCTTGGACAACTTAAGTTTGATACCAAATTATCTTTAAGTCACAAGCGAGCCACCACGATGTTCATACGGTCTTGGGGCGCCTGGACGCCAGAGTGGTGTTGATAGGTGAGCTCAGTTGTTACCATAATTCGAGGACCAGTGAAGACCGATTTCGGACTCGATATATCATTCTCATGCGGTCTTGTGATCTGAAGATAACCTCAAATGAATAAATGCACTATGATGACACGATGTTACAGTGCTCAGAAACCAGCCTGGACTGTGCGATTGAGGCATATGGCGAACTCACTTTTGAATTCTCTAAGGGCGGTCACTTGACTCACAAGGATGTGTCATGTCTTCGACCATGTTTTAGCTGATTGCTTTCTGTGAACAGTGTATATCGGATACTGAATCGCAGGTATATGACCTTTTGGCAAATGACGCACGTAGTGTATAACGGGGCAATCACAATCGCTCCTTTTAGGTTAGAACGTGAAGTCTATTTTCCGGATTTCTGGGTGCACTCTGGGAAAATGATCTCTCCTCTGCCACCTAAGGTTGCGCCCCGCCTATGCAGGTGTTCCATGGTAGTATGGCGTCTATCGATTAGAATATGTTGTAAATATACCTGGAAACAAAAAATCCAAAGGTAAAAGACGAGAACCTGATGTCTTGGTGTGAGCGAACATTAAAATGAATGACATATTTTCTCTTCACGAAAAACTCGTGACGGCAGCAAATACTGTCGGATCTGACCAATTTTCAGGAGCTTGGGATTCGACTATGATTGTCCTTCGGAGCAGCGTCGCTGTTTGATGGATAACACCCTGGTGTTTACGAGGGAGGAGTGTTACATTTTGGACTGCCTGCTGTTTTCCACCTCCCTGTTGAAGTGTTTGACATTCCCGTCGTCAGATGATTGGTCAGCCATCAAGACAGACAAATCTCTGGTCAAAACAGTTCCGCGCCAAACTCCGCCCATCGGGCGGAAAAACAGACTGTTCACCCCCCCCCCCCCTCTCTCTCTCTAAGTGAAACACTAATGCTTCATTCAACACTATCAGCGACATAGCATCACCAGGCCACTGTTGGTAGTAAAACCAAAATAACTGGATATATCCGGTACAACTTGCAGCGTCGTCCCCAGATTCTGTCAAATCCTCATGGATTTACACAAAACCTATCATCATCAAGGTTTCCTAATGACTTTGGAACAAGTAAGCAATATTCTCTGTAAAGTTGGGTGTCACTTTTTCAAATAGGCACCATGGCATTTTTAGTGCAGTATAAAACCTGTAACACAGTATGCGCACCGTACAGCGTGCGCCCCTCTTAATAACCAGGTGTCGCTATATTCCAGAATCAGGCCGGTGCATCCTGGTCCTAGTGAGGATTACACACCTAGGTTAGGGTACCAGTGGGCTATTCCGATCCATATAGTTGAGGGGCGAGATGGTTAGAGCCCAAGTGGTTGGAACGCCAGTATACTGACCGGAAGGTTCGTGGTTCGAACCCGACCTCTGCTTCTCGACTTCCTCCGTCTAGGCTTTGGCAACCTAGCAGTATTTCATCCATAGTGTTTCCTTCGGGTGGCGTAACAGCTAGGCACCGGAAGGGAGCTATGACTGAACGAATTACCAGTCTCATTGTTTGACCAAGAATGTGGTTTGAGCTATTGTTCAAATTACAAAAAGCTGCTCAGATCCAGATAAACTGTTTTCCTCACTGGGATTCATCAAATCGACCAACAGGAAGTTGTTGATTAGCAGTTTCAAGATAGAGCTCCATCCGAAAGGCATTGGGCGAAAAGACCTGTATGACTGTGCTTTCCAGGATCCGTTCACACTTTCCCCACTCAAGTTCCAAGCTCGTAGACCATCGCAGAGGTTCACTGAATTGCTACATGAACACTTCACTGGTTGTCGGGTCTTTTTAGAAAACGCCCACTTGAGTGAGGGAAGTCTTTTCTATATTTCATCTTCACGGTCCTATAAATTCATTAGAAGATCCAAGTCAGTCAGTACATAAATGTTCGAATAGTCAACAACTACCAAACCACATGTCAGGTGAACAGTTGTGTGTGGACTCTTTTGAAATTAAAGATGTGCTTGTTAGAAACTTCTGAACAGATACCCAAGAAAATTACTTTACCCGAAGGAGTATTCCAAATCCATCTATGGATATATTTCAGTTCGTCTGGTTAAGTCAATGGCTGGTCACCCCAGGGATCACACATTTGAACCGCACTCAGACTTTAAGTGAGTCTGAAACTGCGAAGCCAAATGAATTTTCTCCGACAAGGTCGCGGGTTCGAAGCCCGGTAAATAATAGCTAAAACGCTCACCCTTTTAATCAACTCTAAACGAACCCAGTCTGTGATGACAACTTAGGCACAATGACTCTTGCATCGGACTGTCCTAATGCGTTATGTGATTATAACTAGCAAGAAAGAATGCACGACGACCCAAATTTCCAAAAGAGTTAAACCGCTCCCCAGGCTCCTCTAAGATTATTGCATATCAGACGCAGGCTCGATAACGAAAAACAATATCCTTATCTGATGAGCTCAAAGAAGGGTGAAACCGGTCGTGGGCTGTCGAGCAGTAGCCTTGCGATTAGCATGTTGACCAAGAAGATATACTTCGATATCTCGAATATCGTATCAACTGAAAAATCAGGTGGCCTTCGCACAGCATCTTCAGCTGGAGAATACCATAAATGGGTGACTCGGCTGGGATTCAGTTGAGTGTCTTGTTACCACAGACGGCGAGATGGCTCATTGGCTAGAGCGCAAATTTACTGATCAAAAGGTCCGTGGTTCGAACCTAACCTTTGCCTCTCGACTTCCCCTCTCTAGGCGTAGACAAGTTGACAGTATCCCAACCCTTGCGCTTGCTTCTGGTGGCATGACAGTTGGGCCCCGAAAGGGTGCTACAACTAAATGACTCTTGTCACAACCTAGTTAGTTTTCAAATGAGTGTATCAGGTCTTTTCTTGTTTTTCCGATTATATTCCGTGGGAATGAATCTATCTGTTCTTGCCAATCAATAAAAAAAGACAACTTTTCCTAGACAGGTTTTGTTACCACAGTAACTCTGTATGAGTATATACAGGAAGTTGATCGCCAAGTATTCGGGAGGAGGGGCGAGAATACTCAAATCTCAGAGCTTGCTACAGACTTCCGATTGCTGCTGGAACTTTAGCGTTTGGATGATAAATTGAGTGTTACTGAGTTCACTCACTTATTGGAAATTTAAGAAACACTTTGGCATATAGTCTACTTCGCTTCCCTTTTTGTGATATGATGAGATGTTAGATTCATCTCTACAATACGTGATTGAGAAGGGGTGAATGCGACAAGCCCACCCACAGCAAGCCTATCAAACGTTTGATCTCTTTCTCTTGTTTTTACCAAAGTTTCTCGCCGATAGAGATCTTTTTATCGTCCAATGGATGAACGCTATTTTCCATGTCGACCTCATTCCGCATCGTGGTACTAAATTGATAGTTATATGCGGGAATTTCTCGCGTCATCGAGGTCGCATTTCCAAGATATTTGATTGTTGGAACAGATTAGTGAAATCCTGTGAATATCCATAGTGGTTATCGACCCACTGTAACCCAGCTCCTTACAAAGAAGTGAATGCTGGTCGATATATTTGAGCTTGACTGGGAATCACAAACAAACACGTTTTTTACGGAAATGATCAGGACTTAAATGAGTAGTCGATTCATCGTTTCATACCGCATATTATCTTCAATATCCACTGTGCTTAGTATAACTTCGACGTGCATCACTGACTGGTGTTTCGCTCACACAGTGGGTAAATTTCTCGATCAAGCCAAGATTGTCCCACATAACAGGCCCGATGATGTGCCAGAATAGTAGGTCGGCAGTATTTGTGGCACCAACTGTTTTGCATAAGAAGTAGGGGACAAATCTGGGCCAGTGCACTTCACTTGTGGGATTCCTTTTTGTAACGTGCGTGTTGGACCAAGACGGTCACAGCCACCAGGTCTGGTCATCTAATTATTACCTCGAGTTATTGGCAATTACCTCGCGTCAACTTCTAAACTGTTACGTTGTGTTCATTAGGTCGTTTAACCTCGCTTCAAATACTCTGTTTCGCTGCATTCGAATGGTCTTTTTCCAATTGTCTTTGTTTTGACAACATAGCTGCATTGTGCTACCGGAAACGTTCTTTTTGTCATATCCTGCCACCCTAATATCTATCTTCTGGATTGAGTTCATTTGATATTAGTTGCAGTTGGCAATTTGATTTGACAAAGAATCATCCCGTGCTTGTCATCAAGGTGACCTGGTGAAGTTTGGCACCATTCGGACAAGGAAGGCTGAAGGCGAACCCTTTCAATTTCGTAGACCATGAGAGCATCAACGCATTTAGTTCATCGTTTTGGGAGGCCAACAATAAAAAACAGCCCTTAGGAATAAGGACGAGATTGGAGTGTGCCGTCCGTATTCTCACTTGATTTCGAAGATGGCTTGACCTGCCGCTATGGGCTGTCTTCGAGCTGTTTTAATTCTCGGAAACATGTCTGTAATAAAAAAAACCAAGTGTCATAACGCCGAAAACGTGTTTGCTTGCTATGTTCACGCACCTTAACATACAAAATCTGTTCGATGAAGCCGTGATACTTTAATCTGAAAAACGCACACTACCGGGCAGGAAAATAGAGTAATTAGCGAAATGCACTCATTTGCGAACTACGTTGATGTCAACATGAGGCTCAACTGAATTCATTCTCATTTGTAATACTCCTCAATTGAAAGTACTGCACAAGGAACACGTTACGCATCCTCCTGAACGTGCTGTGGTACCAGCTTACAGCTATGATCAGGCCTCTGTGGCCGACAGAGTGAACACCATTCTCCTGTTAAGTCCAGCTTAGAATGAATACTCACATGTAAGCAGTCCAGAATATTGCACCAACCGAAACATGAGGAGACCTGGTACAGCACATTCAGCTGGAGAAGAGCATCATAAGCGAAAGTCAGCCGTGATTCATATGAGTCACCCGCAAATTTATATGCAAACGATTGTATTTATCAAAACCAGTCCAGTTTAGGTTCAAGTGGAACATACGGTTGACGAAAACTCGGGGACTGCGCCTATCTGATGAGCCTGAAGCGAAAGGGCAAAACCGGTTGTGGGCTGTCGAAAAATTCTCAGCACCCTTGTGAGTAATGCATTACGTTTATACATGTATTGCGATATTTCGAATATCGTAACAAATTAAACATGAGGTGGCCTGATGCAGCACATTAAATTGCTTAAAAACATCATGAATGAGAGATTTAGCTGGGTCCCAGTTAAGTCCCTCAAAAGACCAAACTGGTTTGCAAA